TATTTTTGTTAGACATTATTGGATACAAAAAAAAAAAAAACACTTCATGTTATTTAATTTTCAATTGATCAATATTGTGAACCTGTAGTTAAAATTTTCTTTAAAATTTAAAAATAATAATTAAAATAGCAATGATAAAATTAACAATTATATAATGAATAAATTAAAAAATCACCCGGAGTTCAGATGTATCATAAACCTCAACTTGTGCATGATGAAAAATTGTGACATGCTTTATTGTTGATGAACACGTCCTGCATATATAGTCATACAGATATACTAAACCAAAATCATAATTTTGAGGACTATGTGTGTAAGAATCAACAAAAAAAATGTAAAAATAATAAGAGATATGAAATCATAACTTTAAAAATATAATGAATTCAACGAAGAAATTATAGGATGAACACACAAATCTTAGATTCATCTCTAATTACGATTGAGAAATGGAACCTTCACTAATAAGGTGAAAGATCATGTAGTCAATCAGCTGAACTAATCAGATTCTCCATTAAATAATTTTCTTGTATGTAAGAACTAATATATATGTTTGGTCAGTACAATCAATTTAATTCGACTAAGAATTAGTTAAATTTTTAAAATAGAATTCACATATTTTACTAGATAGTAGAATAAATAATCGATATGTGCATAAAGTAGTTAGAAATTATAAAAATAAAATAAAATATGATGATATGAGATATATAACAAATTTTAAAAAGATGGAATTATGAGACTTACATAGAGTGATCATGAGCCAATGGAGGGGAAAGTTGAAGGACAAGTCTGGATTTCTTCTTCATGCCTATATATTAATATAAATATTTCTCACTTTTTTAAGTCTTAAATTTTCAATTGCTTATAAATTGAAGACATTTTTCTAAAACAATTGTATAAGTTATACCAAGAAAACAAAATAGTAAAAGCCTAGTATAGAATAATAGTACTATTTATTAAAAGGATATTGTTAGGTTAAGAATCCATAAAAATTTTGCTACTAACAAAGTCAAGAAACATCACTATATATATATATATATATATATATATATCATATGAAACATGTTGTCCACATGCCTAATGACCCTGCCTACCTAACTTACTCTCACGTTTAAATAAATTAAATTATGTCATTATAACTTCAGTTTCAAATCTCAAACTTCTTAAAATTTTAGATCTTTTTAAACGTAAAATTTTTATTTTTATTTTTTACAAATATAAAACTTGTCTCATGATAAATTCATATTTTATAAACAAAAATCATTATTTAAATTTGGAATGAATAAATAAATTCGATCTAAAAAGATTATATTATTTGTATTATGTGGAAAAAAGTATTTATTTTTTATTGTTGACTAGTGAATTTTTGTAGAATTTTGTGTGTTTGAAAGTTATTGTAATATCATCTAATAAGAAGAGAAATTGGGCCATTTTTCTCGAGAGAGGCCGCCTTCTCTCAGGCCAGCAGTCTCTATGACGGGCTTCCCTCTATATTTATTTATAAAATAAACATGGAGTATGTAATTTATTTATGTTGTGCCTTGTGATAATTTGATAGTTTAGGTTGTTTCTGAACGATGATTTGCTTATTAGGTAAAGTTGTATAAAAGTTGAGGGAGTTTTGATAATTTTCACAAATTCTGAAGCTTTAATATATATTTATGAGAAGAAAAAAAGTATCTATTGCATATTCAAACAAAAAAAATTTCAATTACAAATCGTCATAATCTTAAATTACCCGTTTTCATAATTTTAAATATTCAATAAATTCAATACTAAAACCCTTTAAAACCAAACTCATTTAAATCATGGACCAATCTCTAATTATAGTTAAAAATATATCTCTATTATAAATTATTAATAATTAGCAAACCTTATATCCTTAGAAAAAAGATACCAATCCCCTCAAACATCCTACAAAATGATCACCTTTTGAGTTTTGTCATTATTAGTATAACATTTAACTACTTGCACAAACTCCATAACCTCTAAGCTTAATAAAGATCAATAATTATAAAAACAAACTTTATAATTTCTCATCAACTTGAGACAAATGATTCCCTTAACAGAAATGGGAAGTTGTTCTTTTTTTAGTTGATTTTATTCTTTTGATGCAACCATTCTTCACATCTTATATATTAATTAACTAATTAGGACACATAATTACTTGCCAAAAACAGGCATAGAGTCACATTTAACAAAAAGTTATGAATTGCATTGATGATAAATAAAGAATAAGATGATTTTACTTGAAAAGGATTAGACATTATTTCATCACATCTATATATCATTTCACCATTTCCCTAACATTCAGTAACAGAGTTACGTTTTTTATTAAGAAGCTCAAAATATATACATAGGAATAAATACATAAAATAATTTAACGATATAAATAATAGTACTCATTTCTTTATTAAAAAATATTTGTATAAAATCCTCGGGCCTACCTAGCTCTGCCTCCGCTAATACCCTAGTAATGTTTCTTGGACAAATTTGAGTTGTCATGAGGTTCAACTAGTCTTTAAATAGTTTCCTATTATGGAAAGCTAGTTGTTTGGTACACCAAGAATTTATGGGTTTGTTTGGGTTTTCATTTTACAAAGAGAAAAACGAATTGAATTCTTTCACTTTCACTTTGATGTGGACAAATTAAATGTACCTAATTAAATGTTTTATCTTAGGCACTTTACTTAGTAACTAATATGAGGCGTGTCAATTATATCATCCTTTAAGATATTTCATCAATTTAGAAGAAAAATTGACTTTATATAAAATAGCGTATTCAAGAGGGGTCATTAGGTTCACGTTAATTCATCCTCCCTTCTTGAAAATATATATAATATAGTGTTATTTTTGCTAATAAGTATCTAGACATAGATGTGTGAACGTACACTTGAATTTTTTATTTCTCTTGTTTTATTTTCCTTTAAAAAAATTAGGTAACGCCTCTCTAATTGGTTTGATAGAGAAAAAATAATTTTAGACCTATACTTTTAAAATGTTAATGATTTTCAATGCTAAAAATCTAAATGTTAAACCGATCAAATTTATATCTTAAATACATCTTTTCGTAATAGTGCACCTATTATTTCAAAATATTGAATACGCTTACGTGAATATAAATAAACATCTCACCATCAATATCAGATCATTATTGGCAGTAAAAAAAAAAATGCTAATGAATAATGAAGGGTATATATGTTACGTACGCTTTGAAACTAATTGGAATATTTGATATGATTAACACTAATTGATTCAAATTTAAGCTAATTCAAAATGATTGTTGCTCACGTGAAAATTGATAATTATAAATTATGATGATGATAAATCAGATGACACAAAAACTATATAGAAACATAATATTGTTATATGATTTAGCAATTGACCTGATAAAGCTAAAATAAAATAAAACACATTTTTTTAAACGATTACATTGTTAATGTCATTAGGCTCGCAAAACATGTGTTGGCATATCATGTGGTACACTTTTAATTTAAGCACGTGTGTCTAAAAGTTATATGTGAAAACTCATTTCTGATGTCAACTACTCTTACAAAACAATCTTTAATTTGCCACACAAAAAACATCAAATTGTTGATGGGCTATGTTTGAGTTTCCTTTTTTAGAAATAACATTGATATATTTGAAAAATATGCATTTTAAACATGTTGTATTATGTCATATATGCTAAGAAAATTCTGGTTGCCAACTTTGGTTCCACTCAACTTATTTTGAGTTTGCTTTTAGTAACATTTAAAGTTTTTGATCTTAATGAGTAAGTTTAATTTAGGGTTTATATAGAGTTTAATTTAGGGTTTATATATAGTTGTAGTAAGTTAATTACTTACTAATATGATTAAAGATATATAGTTTAAATCTATATCCATATTAGTTTCTTTGAGTGTTTTTTTTTTTTCGTGAATGGAGTTTGATTGCATGACCTTTGAATTATGTTGTGAATTGAGGATGAAGGGATGTTTGGTTCTCTTTATATGAATTTGTTAGATACAAATAAAAAATGTTCCATTCTAAGTTTTGCTAGCCTTTGCCGTTGTTATCGCTCACTCGACTTTGAATAGAAAATTTTATTTTCCTCGAGCCTTTTTTTCGTTTGTGTAAAGTAGGGGTGTGCATTGTTTTATGTATTACTGGTTTTCAATTTTTTTTTCTTTAAATGCTAATTCAATAACAAATCAATAAAATATTTTTATCGATTTTTGATTTATTGATTTTTGATCGTTATCGATTTAGTTTCTGATTCACCCAATAAGAAAATGTCTATAAAATTTTATATAACTTCTTCTTACTTCTCTAAATGCTTCGATATAGTGAAACACGAAAGATAATGAAAAATTGCATCAAAGGAAAAATTAATAAGGAGACTATAATTACAATTTACATGTCACCGCTAAAACATGTTATGAAATTTCTTATGTTAATCAAATAGAGACCTTTATAAACTTGCAAAAGCTACAACCTACAAGTACAAACTAAAACTAAAATCAAATACCCACAATTGTGAACCCTTATTTAGTATTTAGATTTTAAGTAACAACAAATCGGCCTTGTGTAAAGTGGGTAGAGTACTAATAATTTGATATAGTTATTGGGGTCTAGTTATATATTTACTTATTAATATTTGATATTTAAGAAGGGTAAAATAATAAATTATCACCATCTTATTGCATTCTTGATTTACCCAATAAACCAATACTAAAAATCAAAACCGAACTAATAACCTAGTAAAATTTTTTTATAAATCCATTAGAAACCCATTAATATTTTTTCAGTTTGATTTATTTATAAAATAAACAGGGAGTATGTGATTTATTTAATTTGATATTTCTAAAGCATATAATGGAGTAGGGGACCAAATTTGTTAAGTCTGAGAGGAATTAAAGGTTAAATGTGCAATATTCAATAATAAGTGAACTGAAGTTCACAATCAAAACTTTGTTTTCCAAGAAAAGTAAATTAAAAAAACGAAAATTTTGGCGGGAAAATGTTGAAGCAACTTTGAAGTTGAGACCCAAAGGTTCAAAATTTTCGAAGAGAGGAAAAATGGCGGATTTTGAAGATGAAGAATTCCTATCTCAGGTCGCCGCAGCAGAAGCAGAAGCCCTTTCCACCGCTGCCAAGCGTCGCCGAATCTCTGCCACCGTAACCACTACCACTACCACCTCCGCGGTTACCACGCCAGAGTTCAAAGTCAATGTCAATAATAATGCCAGTGTGGAAGAAGGAGCTTATCTAGCGGTTCTGAAAGGGAACACAAGTGTTTTACTCCAACAAAAAGTATCGACAAATGCCTTTTCTACTCCGATTAACAACAAATACAAAGCAAATCCACCGACTGATGATTCTGTGAGCTTTCCTGAGAAGATATGTGCGTGTGGAATGGGTAGTTGCCTTGTACTCACTGCCAATACTGAGAAGAATCGCGGCCGTAAGTTCTACAGATGCCCTATGAGACAGGTACTACCACTTCAACATAATGTACAACACTTGCTTGCTACTAGATTTGTATCTGTACTTATTTTCTAGGTGATAAAGGTAAATAGTGTCTATCAATCAACGTAGGTTCTGGTTTTAACCTATTAGTTTTTGGTATGCTATTGTTAGTGCCAGAGTTTGAGTATCCGGACTTCGAGTACTGTTTAAATTTCTATTCTAATCCAGATCTGAATACTTTCTCAGGAGAATGGTGGTTGTGGATTCTTTCAGTGGTGTGACCAACCTCCGGTTACTGATTCTCTGACCACCCGAGGCCCGAGTTACTCTGTCAGTTCCACCTTCCCGGAACTTTCATGTCCATGTGGTTCTGGGACATGCCTAGTTCTGACAGCCAAAACAGGAAAAAATATTGGTCAGCAATTCTACCGATGCCCATTGTATCAGGTTTAGTATCACCTCCCTTTTCTGTTTTACCAGGTCTCTACATATCTCAATGAGATTAAATGTCTAACTACTTGAAATGCTTCACAATGCATAGACATGTACCTGTGTAGCATAGACTCTTTTGATTGCACAAAAGCCTTTAAATCATCCAGACCAGTTGATATGTTACCCTTAATTTCCTGCTTTATATAATGTCTTGATAATGACAAAAAATCAAAATTCAGAAAGTAGTTCTAGGAGCTCATTGCTGTCTAGAATCAGTTGGGGTGAATAAACTGATCAAGTCTTTTGAGGGATGATTGGTTTGAAGGAAAAGAAAAGAGTAAAGTTGTTAACTGCAAAATAAAGAAGGCTCAAGTGGTCACTTGCAAGGTTTTGGCAGGTTAGGTGAACAGTTTTGTACTTAGGTTGTATTGGATAAATATTGTAAACAAATTTGTACAACTCAGATGGAAATTGGACATATATTGTAAACTAATTGTATTCAGGTGGTAATGAATAGAGTAATGTCAACAACACAAATCTTCAATAGTAGATTAGGGTGCGAGGATTGAGAACTAGGTATCTCAGGTGAAAACTTGACTTTGGTTTTCCATTTAATTATCATGCTTTTGTCTTCAGTAGGGCTCAAAGCCTCATGATGTGCGTCTAAACACATATCATGTGTTGCGTTCTTTCCACCAGCCCTCGTAAATTTCTTGGTTATTTACAGAATCACACCTGAACTTGTGACTGCACATAGTCTTTTGCTTTTGCCTTTGAATAGAGGTTATATCAAGAAACTGAGGATTGATGGTACTGCAGAATAGCTTGATCTCATCAAGTGTTTTCAAGTTTAAGAAAGCTCTAAGGTTTGTCGTAACTTTAATCGCAAAGGGAGAAAAAAAATACAAATATATATTTTTAGTCCAACTCTAATAATTCTAAGCATGAATGACAAATAAATTATTTTTTTAAAACGATAAGGTGAAATATCAATGTTTAGTGTCCTATCTTCAAAAGAGGCTCACTAGCAAGGAAAAGCATGCCTTAGAACCTTGATGGCAAGTTGGCAACACTGAAGCATAAATTAAGTGAAGCAAAGTGCTCAACACATTTTGAGCATCGCTTCAGGGCTAAGTGTGCCTTGACAACACTGATCTCATCTAGAGTTCAATGAGAACTCAATATGAGTATGACTGATTGAACCATTGAGGTTCTAATTTCTTAATCACAGTTAAGAAAATGGACTTACAAGGAGATAGTAACTTATGTCTTAACCAACGTGAGTTACTTTTAACACTTCATGCACTCCAGAAATTGTTCAACTTGAGTGCGGATAACATAAGAGGAGGCCAAACATGTCACGACCCAATTTCTCGAGCCATGAAGGCACTTACTATAACCCACCAGTAGGTAAGCCAAATCATAACCCAAAACAACACGAAATGGGTGTATGGGTAGAAACTAAACAAGACTAAGCAACATTATTATAACAACATAAGCAAACCAAAACATAAATACAATTAATGATCCCTCCCAGAACCTGGAAGTCACTAATACAGAGCTAACAACAAAACGAGTACAAGTCCCAACAGTGGACCATCGAAACTAGACTGTCTCGAAAAGTAAAAGACAAATCTTTATATAAACAGATGGAGACTGAAATAGTACAAAACGTCGTGTGCTCACCCCTGTCTCCAAACCAAAAATGCCCCAAACTCAATCAACGCTGGCTATTGGTGCTCGAACCTGCAACACGAAAATAGATGCAGAGCGTAGCATGAGTACCAAATAATAGGTACCCAGTAGGCATCATAGGCCGACTGAACTAGAAAAGTAAAGCAATATGAAACGACGGAATCACATAACTAGAGGTCAAGAACGGAAGGCTAAGTAACATAGGAATGCACACGAGTGTATAAAGATCTAACTAAATTAATATAAATAAGCTAACTACACCTAACTGGACCCCCTATAAGCCCAGAAGGTACACTCGTGCGCAAGTTTAAATAAAAACCAAAACAGACCCCCATAAGCCCGACGAGTACACAAATAACTATAACTTAAGGAGAATAGTTTTCAAAGCCAAAGAACACCGAACCAAATAGTAGAATCTGACGGTACGAAGGTCGGGTCTTGAACCAGACGCTCACCAGAATTACACAAGTAGCCAATTGCAAAATATAAGTAACTGAGGCCGGACCTTTAACCGGATGCTCTAAATACTTGAGGCCGGGCCTCTAACCAGATGCTCTACATAAGTATGTGGATGATCAAGGCCGAACCTTAAATCCAGATACCCGACAAAGATGTCGATATAGCTGCTGAAAAAGTCTTTATCTATCCATAATCATAAATACCCATGGAACACCATCCATACTTAGCTAATCAATGTAAGTCCTTGAAGTCGAATCGAAACTCAACTTTGAATCGCGGAGCAGAATTCATTGTCACTGACGTAACTCGAGAAGCCGTAACATCGAAGAAATAAGGATAACTATCGCTGGAGCAAGCTCATCATCTAGCTAAATACCAAATTATCAGACTCAAGTATGCTACACCAGTTTACAAGGATTTAAGCCTTCTGAGCAACGTCGGGGCTAAACTAAGTCCTACCGACTTTGAATCATGCATTTTTAAGGAAAATCCTAGTCAAACCTAAACTAAGGCCCAACATACTTCTGATAACCACTATTCCAACATATAAGTATTCTATATAGCAAAAAAGGTCAATTAATAACAATAAACATGCTCACAGTTACCCGATAATTCTCAGAAAAAGGCCAAAAATATGATTTTTAACACCTATGCATGATCCAATAACTACCCAACCCAAATCCCAACTAATCAACATGCATTCACATGTTCGAGTTCAATCTAAGAAGGGAAACTGTAGCCTGCTTGAACACAGATCATGCGCGCTCCAAAAATCACTTCCTCGGAGCTTTTCCTTTCTGAAAGGCCTCGAAACGTTGATACACTATCAAAAATAGAGTCACAACGTTATTACGGTCATTTAAACACTAAAATTGCAAGAAACGAAGACGGGTCAATCTCGCGGTCAAAACGAAAAAAGTGGATATGTGTTGAGAAATCAAGAATTAACCCAAATAAAGGTCCTAAACAACTCTCGAAACTTGTGTTCCAAAATGGAACACAATCAGGGACTCAAGACAGTTCCAACATGAACATGCAACCAAAAACCCAAATTCTACGCTAAAAATCAGCAACAATGACAACAGCTATTTACAAGAATTTACCAAAAATAAAGGTCCAACTGCCTAAACCAATTACACCACGACGATCCTCACGAAACCCCCCACAATATAGGCTCTTGAATAGATTCGGACCTAAAATGACCAAAAAATCACCTTCTAAAAGTTTCCCAAAAGTTGAGCTCGAAAATGAGCTATGACAGCAGTTAAAACACAATATTTACCTCAAATCGGGTCCCTAAATCAGATTCCAAGCCCACCAATGCGTTGCCTCGAAAAGCCTCACAACTTAGCCTTTTGAATCGCCAATTTGGAGTTTTATAGCTCAATATATTGCAATTTTAAAGTAAAACATAAAAGCTGAAAATTGGGCTTTTATAAGGACGAAGCTGGTCGCTAATAAACCCAAAAATCTGGTCGTTAAAACCCCAAATTCTGGTTGTTAAAGGGCTGCACCAGATTTCAGCTTTGTCTAATTTCTTCAAAGTCTCCGACGGGTGCTCGGAATCCGTTCGGAACCTGATAAAAATAAAACAGATATGCTACCCTACCAAAGTCGACATTCCGGACTCAATGGCGCAGTCAAAATTTTCATCAGAGGTCATCTTGATAAAATGTGGGTCACACTTCCATTGGCCATTTTAAGTCAAAAACCACAAAAGGGCACGGAAAAATATCAAAAACCTCAGAACACGAAAGAAGGGTCAAACTAGACCAAATTCGACTTTCCGGAGCTAGCTGCGCTGACGGAATTCTCATCTGAGCGCGTTTACTCAGAATGTTGACTAAAGTCAAACTTAGACTTTAACTTAAAGTTAAAACGTCTAATCACACCAACTCACACTGAAAACTTGGGTGTCATGTTGACAATGCTACTAGCCTAAAATGACCCTTCCAGAATTGATGGAATCGTCTGAATTGGATTCTGATGTCATCTTCTTGAACTTTTGATCGAAAATGATCGTTCAAGGTTCATAAGCTTCAAAAATACTAAAGCTCACACAATAACCAAACGAACGACCAGGTGACTGATCTGTCAGTCCCAGCAAGTCATAAATGACTTGGGATCGCTATAAGAACGCTCTAAACGATGCACAGAAGATAAAACACTAAAAATGATAAGAAGGGTCGTTACAAAACATAAGTAAACACAACAATAGGGATGGGTTTGACTCTTATACTATGTCAAGAGAATAACCTTAGCTCAACTTAATCTAGAAAGCTAGTTCTTGAAGGATTGATCAAAGCTATCTAAAGGAGAGCACAATCCACTTCCTCAGCTAATGTGGGACACCCTAACGAACATGTTGTATATACATCATGGAACATGACCAACTTTGGCAGTGATTTCAATTACTGAAAAGTGAGGTCTCCAAAGATGTTGTGCATTGTGCTCTAGCACATGTGCATACAACAATCTAAGTGTTCAATTTCAATTCCCAGTCTTTACCAGCAAGTATATTTGTTGCAGATTCATAGAAAAAAGTGTCTGCGGAGGTTATTGTTTTTATTTTTTATTTTTATTTTTTTGTTTTTTTCTTTCTTTTGTTTTCTGTGGTATCAAAGGAAGGTAGCCCAAATACGATGTATTCATTATGTTTATATCTGCTAATATGTTGTTACTGTTCTTAGGGAGGTTGTGGATTCTTCAAATGGTGTAATGACAACACGACCAATGCTAGCTTCTCAAATTCATCTAACAGCTCTCAGACTTATCCAAAAATTGATGGGTCAACCAACAAAATCAACAATTCAGTCGCTTCTAGTTTCAAATGTGGCAATGCTGGCAACTGGGTTAAAGATTGTCCACAGTCGTCTTCTCAACGCTCTGCTGCTGATGGAGGAGTACAGTATTCCAATTCAAGAACTTGTTTTAAGTGTGGCAAGCCTGGTTGCTGGGCCAAGGACTGTTCATCCAACTGATTCCAGAGCAGTGATTGTGCGAAGTGGATTCCCTCTTGGTTTTGATGACATCTGAAGCACTGCTATAATTTTGATGTAAATATTGCCCACCCCAACTTTCTAGGAAAGGACGTTTTGTTCTTCTTTGATACTGAATCAGTCTCAAGTTGCAGTTAATGAGTATATGTGATCTTGGATTTTGCTGATGTTTTGAATGTTGAACTTCATGTTAGATATGACACTATGTAACAGCTTTCTTCATTGTTTTGCTGTTTAGTGATGGTTTGGAAATCCCATTTCCTCTAAATCTTCCAATTTTCGACCTTTGGGACTTGAGTATGTTTAACTTTGCAATTAATTTTTTTCCCTTTAAAATAAGCTGTAACAAAGGAAAGAAAGCATCCTGACTCCTGAGGACTCAGTTTTTGTTTTTTCGTATGTCAAGCATCTTAACTTTGATATATTTTGTAAAGCTCCCTAAGGATTATATGCAGTTTGTTGCTCAATCAGGATTTACACAGGCTGATTCTGGCATCCAGCGATCTTTCTAAGAATGTCAAAAAGAGCCAAGTATAGGTAACTCGCTCAGAATTTTATAGTGTTTTTTTTCAAGAAATCCATCGTAAAGATGAAGGAGTTTAGGCATGACTCCGACCTGTATATATACCAAAAATCATAATTAGACGGAGGAAGACATAAAGCTTAGCCTCATAAACAAAGTGTAGGTTGGATATAACCATTTTGTTGCCCATACGGTTAACAACACCAATTTGAGATTGAATGATCCTTCTACTGTAAGAAACGTCACAACAACAGGATATTTTACGTCGATAAGAGCTCATCAAACAAGGATCAATTTTGTCAGTAATCATCACTGATGAACTTGTTTTTCTTGGTTCGAAATCTGAAGTTTAGAAGGTAAGGAAGTGGCTTCAGTGAAGATAGAAGAACATTTTGAGTCCTCACCCAAGTTAGCCAGATGGTCAGCAGTAGAATTACCCTCTCTGTAGACATGATTAAAACTAATATCTCCCAAAATCTTGTCTATAGTCTGGCTGATTTGCCAAGGTGTTTTTTTAGTTTTTCATTGAGTAAATCGATAATCAACATTGTGTCCGACTCCACTATCACCTTAAACATGCCAGCAGCCTTGCATATGTTAACGCCTTTCCGTAATGCCCTAGCTTCTGCAACATTATTGGAGCAATAACCATAAAATTCAGCAAAGGCAATAATCATATTTCCTCCACTGCAGTCTCTAATAACGCCTCCCTGCTGGACATTTTTTCCCTTTCTTTGTTCTCGCTATATACCAAGCAGACTTACTGTTAAAATTACCATTAGAATCAGGAGTCCAAATAGGAAGGTCAAGTTCACTATTATTGAATTCAATAGTGACAATAGAGTTGATCACATTTTGTGGCAAAATTCTTCTAAGCTTCACAATATTCCAGTTGTTGTTTCTGTAGATATCTTTCAACAAGGTCTTCTTGGGGCACTAGTTTAGCAAGATGACGTAGAATAGTCCAGTTATCCCACCAAAACGATACATCTTCTTTGCCAATTTACCATAGAATAAGAGTTTCCACCTTTTCTTTGCTATCCATGAGCCTCTTCCAAGGGTGAGATTGCCCAGAAGCTCACTTCTTAGCAACAAGATGAATTTTTTTTTGCAATATTTGGCATCCAAGAATGCTTTCAATAAAGAATCTTGGGTTCTATATTTCCACCAAAATTTTGCAGAGAATGTGTTGCATATATCTCTAAGAGATCTAAAGCCAGACTAAACTCAAAATAATTTGAATTGTGTCAATCTCAGCGCATTCATGCCTTCACTCTTAAAAACCCAATTTACTCTATTGATTTATCTATTTGTATTTTTTTATTTTTTCTTGAGTTGAAATTCAAATTAAAAGTATTGAGATTATACGTGTCATAACCCAACTTGATTTTAAATTGTAATAACAAACTATATTCAAATTAAATGTTATAACCACAATTTGATTTAATTGTAACCCGTAGCAAACAATTGTCATTGGCTTCTTTCCCCATCTTTATACAAATACAGATCATACAAATTACCATGTATAATTTGTATTGTATAAAGTGAGAGAGATTTGACATACAAATGTTTTATTTCGATTCAATTATATACAAATTCAAATTTTATGCAGATATACACACACATAAAATTGAATCGAGAGGAATTGCCAGTATTTTATGCTAATAAGAGGTTGTCAACGATTTATACAAATCTGATGCACCAAACTATAACTATAACATATATAAAAATAACCTAAATTTGACAAAGTAAATTTAGATTTTCATGAGCTAACCCAATTTCTATTTTTCAATTTAACACTAACCCTCCCATTAGACACCCTATCCTACGTCTCCTCTTGTGCGTATGGTGCTCCAACATCTCAGCCTGGTACCTTTGGGGGCTGTGTTAACTGTATTCAAATAGCATATAATATGAAGCAAGACATTAGCCATTAGCGTATCTTGGAGTAATTGACTTTCAATTAAAAATGCCCTTCACCGTCTTGCTTGCTTCTGAAAAGCTATCATAGGAACCCTAGCTTTGTATCTAAAGGGCTATATCCATGAAGAATGTTATTATCAACAGAAATACTATGGGCAAGTATGAAGTGAACTTTCAATTGCTGTCCAAAATGCCTCAACTCAGGGGAAACAGAAGCATATCAATTGGATGAATTGACTGAATATAATTTGAAAGAAAAGACAATGTGCTGGTAAACTTTTGATATCACTATTTCCAACGTTTTCAATTTTCACTCATATGCTTATTGTCTGCTGAATTTGTCTTTGATAAATGGTCCAACTGCACCTCAAAAACTAAATATTAGCTACTAATTCAAGAAGAAAAAAGCATTAAAGACATGTCTGGAAGAGTACAAATCAAGCAATTCAAATCCATGATATTTGTAAATCTTCTCTTGTGAGCAAATCCATGTAGGATATGTCATCTCTTGCCAGCAGTTCCCTGAAGGATATTTCTTCCGGTTGCGGCAACACTTGATTCTGATGGTTTTGTGAGTTGATCTGCAATTGCTGCACCATTTGTCCTGCTGATAACTTCTCAAACTGATCATTTCTTTCTTCGCTGATGGGCCTTTGCTGCACCGTTTTCCCAGCGGATGAGTTCCCAAACAGATCATTTCCTACTTGGCGGACGGGCAATTTCTTCACCCTTTGTCCGGCTGATGAATCCCCAAACTGATAATTGCTGATGGGCAATTGCTGCACTTTTTGTCCTACTGATAATTTCCCAGGCTGATCATTTCCTACTTGGCTGGTGGGCAATTGCTGCACCATTTGTCCTGCTGATAACTTCTCAAGCTGATCATTTCCTTCTTCCCTTATGGGCCTTTGCTGCACCGTTTTTCCAGCAGATGAGTTCCCAAACAGATCATTTCCTACTTGGCTGACGGGCAATTTCTTCACCCTTTGTCCGGCTGATGAATCCCCAAACTGATAATTGCTGATGGGCAATTGCTGCACTTTTTGTCCTACTGATAATTTCCCAAGCTGATCATTTCCTACTTGGCTGGTGGGCAATTGCTGCACCCTTTGTCCTCCTAATGACAAACTGAGCTGAGTACTAGGGGGCTGTGTTCCATATAGGTCATAAGTCAGGGTGGAGATGTCTTCACCCTCTGTTAGCAATCTCTGATAAGAAAAGTCTGGCTTTCTCTGCATGCTCTGATAGTTACCAACTTGGCTGTTGGGTGATTGCAGCAGCCTTTGTTCTTCTGGCGATAAGCCCTGATCAGTACTAAGCAAGCCTTGGTCATTTAGTAATTTTTCACCGGTCAATGTTGAGGTATTTTCATTCCCCTTTAGTAAATTCATTGAAGAGAAATTACGTGGCGCAGACACTGATGCCCTCTGCATTTTCTGAACATGGTTCGGACTGAATCTTGATGGGCCAATAATCCTGGATGGATGAACTATTGTACTTGGCTTAATAAGTAAATAATTAGGACTCACTAGGTTCATGTTTTGGAACTGCAAATTTTGGCCACTAGAATGATCATTGCTTGTTCCCAAAAATTTGGCCATTTCTTCTGATCTGGAATTATGACTTCTCTCAGAGATACTTATACCTTTATTTTCTCTTTGAGCACGATTATCTGCAATACTCATAATCTTGTTGTTCTCTTTACGAGTCACATTCCCTTCTCGTGCATCCAAGGTGCTCTCACGAACTCTTGTATTTGCAAGCCTTTGTGCTGTTCCTCCCAAGTCCTTTGCAAACTCCAATGGCTTAATCGCATAGTCAATGTTCCTCTTATGAACCTAACGGTAGAAATAAAGAAAGAATTATCAAAATTTCTTCTTTGTCTCACTATATAATAAGCTTAGTAGTAGTAATATTTTAGCTTCCAACTGACGATCCTTCAAAGAAACATTATGTGATGAGTTTCTTTGAATGTCTGGTAAGCTGCATTTTTTCTTCAAAGAAAAATTTTTACTTTGAATTTTTTTTTTTAAAAAAAATAATAAATCTAAACTGTATAAGATTAAGAAAAATATGGTTGTAAAAGAATTTACTTACTATTACACATAACCAAATTCATAATTTTATAATAGTAGCATATATGATATAACTATTGTCAAATACTTGAAAAAAAATAGGTTGAACCTATCCAACAGACAATATAAGGTTGTGTAAATTATTATTTTTTTTGTTACCACCCAGTTTCTGGTACTGGTATATCCAGATTTGGACCATGTGATGCCAAAGGAGTAAGTACTTTGAAATTTTATTCATCCCACCACAATTCTCAATGGTAACGGAAAGTAAGTGAAAGTAGAGTGTATGCGATTACTTACAAGAGGAAGCTGGATCTCATTCGTCTCCTGTTGTGTTGGTTGAACCAATAAAGATTCCTTTGTCGATTCATCATAAGGATTCCAGGTATTGCGCTCTTTCTCCAAATTATCACTCGTAGTTTTAGCATTTACAGCACCTCCACCTATATACGTACATAATGAATTAGGACGTAAAAAAAATGCAGAATTAACATTGTAAATAAAATGAAGAAAACAAAACACTTGCCTTTGGATTGAATATTCAACATTGAGCTATCGGGACAGTATGCTCTTCCTTCCTCAATAGTTTTTGCTTCCTGCTAAAAAATAACAATGCAAAAAAGAGATAACTGATAATTGTATGTACATCATTCAAAAACTAAACTATATATTGGCAATTTGCTGTGGCGGCTTCACCCATAAATATTTAATCCTCTGCCATATGATTTTTCATTTACATAGTGGATTCTCGTCTCTTCCTTTGAATGTAAGTTAATTGATCAAACCACATTAACTTTCTGTTCTCCTTCTCTATTTTTCTCTATTATTGTCATACTTACTTTATTATTTCCAAATGATAACGAATTATCAAGCTATTTAGAAGAGTATGAAAATGGCAGAGAGTAGCTCTGTTGTTGTGGCCCGTGAAGATCCCCATGGTGTCCACGCCTTGAAAGTCCAACCATGCCCAAAGCTTACTTGGGCTGATATTGGTTGAGTCAAGATAAGCTAAATGATGGGTCATAACCCAACCTGCCCAATTTGACTTAGCTTTTATTATTCCCTTTTAACCAAATCCACAACAAGTCTTCATAAATACTACAGATTCTCAAGGTTGGGTTAAGTCGGGGTTAAAGTCTTGAGTCAGGGTCGGATTAAGGTGCAATTATCTATCAAGGTTAAGTCGGGAATAAGGCTAGAGTCAGAGTCCGGAGAAGGGTAAGGTCCCAAGTTTGGGTTAGGGTTGGTTATTAGGTCGAGTCTTGAGTCAAGGTCGGGGTTGAGTCCTAAATTGAGGATTAGAGTCAAGTCTTCAGATATAGGAATAGGGTTGAATCCTATGTCAAGGTCCTAGGTTGGATCCTTGTTCTAGGTCAAGTTTTGGGGTTTAGATCTCTAGTCAAGCCAAGGTTCAAATTCTACTTCAGGGTTGGGGGTGGGGGTCCAAACATTTGATCAGTGGTCGGGTCCTAAATAAGGGTTTGGGGATATAGATCTCGGGACTAAGTCAATGTGAGGTCTCGAGTCGAGGGGTGGGGTATCGAGTCAACATCGGGTCAGGGGTTGAGTCTTGGGTTTTAACTTGGGGTTAGGATTAGAATCGTGTCCTAGTTGAGACCAGGGTTATGATCGTGTCTTAGAGTTAAGGGTCGAGTCGGTTGAAGATCGAGTCTTCAGTTAGGGTATGGCTAGGAGTCGAGTCTCAGGTTGAGGTCATGCAAGGTGTCAAGTCTCAGGTCGAATCCCAAGTTTTGGTTAGGGTCAAGGTAAACTCCTCAGTCAAGGTCTGCATCAGAGCTCGAGTCGAGGTCAAGGGTCGGGTCCTAGGTCATGGTAGGGCTGGAGGTTGAGTCTCAAGTTTTTGTCAAGGTTGAGGTCGGGGTCAGGGGTAAAAATAATTAAAACGAAAAGTAATACATCGACTCAATGCCAAAATGTCCCATGTCTTACTTGGTCATACCAATCCAACCTATAAATTCTAACACCTATGAATCTTGGCAATGTGTCCTACTATACTTATTTTGAGGCAAAATAATTAGATATGCAAAAAAGTTCCACATTAGAAGTCGAGACAAGTAGGAAAGACTTTCTACTAGGGATTAGGGATCCATCTGTAGGCACAACCTTTGACAGGTCAGGATGAAGACTAATTAGACTCGATTTTTGACCTAGTCAAAAATTCCCAACATGAGCAAGAACCAACTTGACAGAGTAACAAATATATAAAATTTAGATGTAACGTTTTCTAAATCAAAAGAACAATCCAACAGTCTATCACCTAAATTAGGGAAAAAAATAAATTTCTCCCTTTGATGTAAAACCCTTGTCGCTCCGCTTAGTTAATTTTTTATATTTCATAAGAGCATGAGAATCAGGAATTCATTTTTTGATTGTGAGTTATAAGAGATCTGAAATGTGAATCGCATAGAACATTAAACAAGGAAATTAAAGAAAACGATACCTGTTGAGCAGAGGATGCAACAACATTAGCAACTTCTTTTACGGTTTCATTTGTCTTTCTCTTCCGAAAATAAACAATGGTCTTGTTTGCTTGTTTCTTTGACATGGACATTACATCTGCTTGAAAAGTTGGTATTTCTATAGCTAGTTTTGCTTCTTACCTTTCAGCTAAACAAGCTTCAAGTCCTTTATATAGATGGAGAAATGTTACTTCTTGGCATTTAGATTTCAGCTTAACTTTGGGGAAATTGAGATATGAATGAATTGGTTTCAATTTAATCGCAAATGACAAGAATCATTAATAATGGTGTGACTAATTAACCAAATATAAATAAGAGAAATTTTAAGTTTGTTTTTTTATAAATTCGCTAATCTTATAAACAAAGTGAATGTGGATGGATTTAGATCAAAAAGAGAAATATCATATTATGCATTTGTCGTTTCTCTAACAATATTAGGGGAAGTTAGACACATTGATAATGTGATAGGTTTTTACACTATCACCTTGGTTTATCCGTTGTAAAAGATAAATTAGTCAAAATTCCAAGTACAACAATAATAAACCCAGTGTAGTCCTAAAAGCGGAGTTTGGGGAGGGTAGAGTGTATGCAGACCTTGTCCCTAACTAGAGAGTTTGTTACTGAGAGATCCTCGGCTCGAGTAAAGAACATGAGAGCTGCTAAAAAAATACAAAAGCAGAGAGGACATAGATAATATTAGGGAAAACATAGTATAACAATAACCAACTAATGTGATAACTAAAGCACTGTAAATAACGAGGAGTACCATAAGTCTTCGTCAAATTCCAAATACCTAAGCAATTAGTTTCTTACAAATACTTGTTTATATATTTGTTAGTATAATACTAATATATATGAACTGTATATGTGATTATCAAAAACGTCACTTGGCGTGGAGGCCTTGCAACAATAGATGTGACTGGGTTGTTGGTGCGAGGGGAAGCCCATGCTTGGTTTCTTATCTGAAAAATGATGCAACAAATATTGCCAACAATCTGATTGCAACATATCAATAAGGGCTAAACCATAACAATTCTTTTCATACTGTAATGTTGAAGAATGAAAAAGTCTCACATCGTGGTTGATGAGATGTTTAGTCTCCTACTCACTTTATGAGGTTTGCGCAATCCTCCTCCGTCTAAGCTAGTTTTTGAAGTATGAGTTTGGCTCAAAGCCTAATTTTAAATAGTTTTCCCACGCCATATGTCCAGTCTTGGATATTGTAGGCTCATCTATAAACATATTTTCTGTCCAAACATCATATATTTGTGGACATCAGAAGCATGAAACTTGATCATTATACTGTTCTAAATCTGCAAAAGAAAAAAAAGTAATAATAATATAATAATAATAATAATTCTCCCAGCATCATAATTTGCCGGCAAGTTGTGATGCGAATCCACCTATAGGTGAAGAACATAGTGTTAAATTTGACAAGATTCAAAAATGGATTAATGAGAAGATATGGTAGTTAGGAGGATAATTCTTCATTGGTAGAAAAGTCAAGATAGCACCTTTTGTAGGTGAAATTTAGGTGAACCATAAATTGATTTCACAAGGTAAATCTTGACATTTTGACATTGTGATGTCATGTATGACATCAATAGGAAGAATTCACTCCTATAAATAGGTCGCTCCTAATTCATTTGTAAAACACCTCTGACTTGTCTTCTCATCTCCTAGGCATTTGTTCTTCTTTATCTCTTGTAGTATTTCACTTGTACTCTTTTGGAGTGAAATAAATATTGGTTGGTTGTGTCCGGGACTATGCAAAAGAAAACAAAAGTTTGTCGAACCTCGTTAATTTCTGGCGTTCTTTTTGTTGTTGTCTCATTTGCTATTTATTAGCTACATTTAGATATCGCAGTTGTGATTCCATCACTCTCTATATATTCGGCTTCCGCAACAATTGATACTGTAGATGTTGGTTTGGTTTTCGAGCAGAAAGATAGTCAATATCTTGTTGGATCTTGTGACTCAGATTATGCAGGTGATTTGGACAAACAAAGATCAAGTACTAGTTATGTTTTCACTATTGCAAATGCACCAGTTAGTTGGAAGTCTACTTTGCAGTCAACAGTTGCTTTGTCTACCACTGAGGCAAAGTACATGACAATTACAGAGGCTGCGAAGAAGCAACTTGGCTTCAAGGATTGCTTAGAGAGCTTGGTATTGGAAAAGAAGAAATCACAATATTTTGTGATAGTCAGAGTGTTATTCAATTAGCAAGAACCAAGTTTATTATGCAAGGACGAAGCACATTGACGTCCGATATCATTTCATACGAGAAATCATAGAAGATAGTGGAGTCATAATGCAAAAAATTCATACTACAGATAATCCTGCCGATATGTTGACAAAAGTGGTGACTACGGTCAAGTTTCAACATTGTTTGAACTTGATCAACATTGTTGAACATTGAAGATTAAGGTTGAAGAGACAATCAAAATTGTTGTTGAGAGAGTTGAAAATGGAGAATCTTGCCAAGGTGGAGATTTGTTAAATTTGACAAGATTCAAAAATGGATTAATGAGAAGATTTGGTAGTTAGGAGGATAATTCTTCATTGGTAGAAAAGTCAAGATAGCATCTTTTGAAGTGAAATTTAGGTTCAACCATAAATTGATTTCACAAGGTAAATCTTGACATTTTAACATATTGTGATGTCATGGATGACATCAATAGGAAGAATTCACTCCTATAAATAGGTAGCTCCTAATTCATTTGTAAAACACCTCTAACTTGTCTTCTCATCTACCAAGGCATTTGTTTTTCTTTCTCTCTTGTAGTATTTCACTTGTACTCTTTTGGAGTGAAATAAATATTGGTTGGTTGTGTCCGAGGACTAGGCAAAAGAAAACAAAAGTTTGTCGAACCTCATTAATTTCTGGCGTTCTTTTTGTTGTTGTCTCATTTACTATTTATTAGCTACATTTAGATATAGCAGTTGTGATTCCATCACTCTCTATATATTCGGCTTCAGCAACACATATACATACAACTTTTTTCCAGTTCTAACTTTTAATTTTTCTGTTGTGCTGTTGTGATGCTAAAATTTGATTTTCAATACTCACCGTAAATTTCTAATTCTAATTCGGATTTGACTATTTTCCAGGGAGAGTGGCGGTTGTTGATTCTTTCAGTGGTACTCTGACCACACGAGGCCCCGGTTACTCTGCTAGTTACTTTGTTGATTCTATCAGTGGTAGTCTGACCACCCGAGGCCCCGGTTACTCCCTAAGATTTCATATTGTCCATGTGGTTCTGGCACATGCCTATATCAGACAGCCAAAACAGGGGGGAAATTGGGTCAATTTCGAATATACATGTATGATAAAGTAATTAGTTTACAATAAACATAGTCACATTTTATTTACATAAAAAAAAATTGTCAAAAGTTATAACTATACAATATAGCTTGCGACTTACATATACATTAATTATCATATATTCAAAAAGCTGAATATAACTTATTTGTACATATTTACATTCAATTTGATTAACTCAAAATCTCCTCTAAACTATCTCAAATTTTAGATATGAAATTTTCTGAATGTTTCGAGTCTTTTGATATATAATTCACTCGAAACAATTCATGTTTTTGTAGTACATCAAATTTAAAAAGAAGAAGAAGAATGACGATGAAGAAGATGAAGAACAGTAAAAGGAGCAGAGAAGACGAAAAATTAAGGACGGAGAAGAAGGAAATTAGCCAAAATTTGTAAAACAAAAGTGCCAAATGGCCATTTGTTGTAATAAAAGATTTTTTTATATAAGAAATTTAACCTAATGTACATAAAATATTGTTCAGCAATTCTATGGATGTCCATCTATTTCCGTTTTACTATTTGGCTGCATACTTAATGAGATCAAATGTGTAAGTACTTGAAATGCTTCATAATGCAAAGCTATGTAGTGATCTCATTCTCTATAAAGTCTTAATAATTAAACCGAATCAGGATTCAGAAAGTAGTCTTATGAACATATTGCTGTCTAGAATCATTCCGGGTGAATAAACTGATCAAACATATTACGAAGGTCTTTACGAGTTTTTGGCTGGTATGGTGAACAAATCTAAACACAGGCAGGTAATTTGACTAATATTCTAAACAAATTTTGTATTTTCAGGAGTAATGAATTAGATAAGAGTAAAGTCAAGCAACATAAATCTCCAATAGGGTTGCGAGAATTGACTTTGATCTTTCCATTTAAATACAATCAAGTTTTTGTCTGTGGTGCGCCTAAATCACACATCATATGTTACCACTAGCCCTCGTGAATTTCTTGGTTATGAGAAAAATTACATCTGAACTCATGACTACACAGTAGCCTTTTGCCTTTGTCTATAAATAGAGGTTATTAAAAGAATGAGAGTTGGTTAGGTGAATGACCGAAAACAATTTAAAAAGAAAGATTGACGAAAAGACAAGACAAAAAGGATGGGAAAATATGAAGTACAGAATAAGAACTTTTGATATCAGAATTTCCAACAGTTTTTCCAAGTTCCGTCGTTTCTTACATACGCTAGTTTATCTGTAGAATCTAACTTTGATAATTGGATAGCTACACCATAAGGAACTAATTATAACAAAACATAAAAGGACAGGTCCAGCAGAATCTGAATCATGCATCGGAAGTCCATTATATATCTTCCCTAGTCAGCAGATCCTTATAGGATAGTTCTTCTGTTGTCAGCGTATCTTCACATGATATATCATCTCTTGTCAGCAGATCCATGTAGGATATATCATCTCTTTTCAGCAGATTCATATAGGATGTTTGCTGGGGTTGCTGCAACACTTGATTCTGATAATTTTGTAAGTTGACCTGCTGCAATGCATTCTCAAATTGATTGTATCCTACTTGGCTGCAGGACCATTGCTGCATCACTTGTCCTAACGATGAATTATCAAACTGATAATTTCCTGCTTGGCTGCAGATCCATTGCTGCATCATTTGTCCTAACGATGAATTATCAAACTGATAATTTCCTGCTTGGCTGCAGATCCATTGCTGCATCATTTGTTCTAGTGACGCGTTGTCAAACGGATAATTTCCTACTTGGCTACAGGGCCATTGCTGCACCATTTGTGCTTCTGATGCCTTGTCAAACGGATAATTTCCTACTTGGCTACAGGGCCATTGCTGCACCATTTGTCCTGCTAATGCATTCTCAAACGGATAATTTCCTACTTGGCTGCACGGCAATTGCTGCGCCATTTGTCCTTCTGATGATAAACTGCAAAGAGCACTAAGCAGCTGCTTTTCATAAAGGTCATTAGTCAATACGGAGCTATTATCATCCATTAGAAATTTCATATAAGAGAAGTCTGATGTCGCTGGCACTGATGCTCTCTCTATGTTCTGATGACTTCCTACTTGACTGCAGGGAAATTGCTGCATCCCTTGTCCTTCTAATGGTAATCCCTGATCAGCACTAAGCAACTCTCTTGCATATAGTAATTCTTCATCAGTCAATGTTGAGATATTGTCCTCCTCCAATAACAATTTCAGCAAAGAGAAATTACGCGGTGCAGACACTGATGTTCTTTGAGTGTTCTGATCATAGTTTTGGCTGAATCTTGATGGACCAATAATCTTGGATGGATGAACTATGATTCTTGGTTTATGATGTTGTCTTGGAAATACACTCATTTCCTTAATACTTTTACTAAGGAAATTATTAGGACTCACTTGGTTCAAACTGGTCCTATCTCGCGACTGCAATTTTTGGCCACTGGAATGATCATTGCTTGTTCCCAAAAATCTCGCCATTTCTTCTGATCTGGAATTTGAACTTCTCTCACAGATGGTGATACCTTTATTTCCTCTTTGAGCATAAAATTCTGCAAAATCCATAGTGTTGCTGTTCTCTTCGTAAATCTCTTTTCCTTTTCTCTTAGCATTATAGGTGCTCCCAGAAGATCTCATCATGCAACAAACTTCAGTAAAGTGCAAACTTTTGTACTGCTTCTTCCAAGTCCTCGGCAAATTCCAAAATTTTAAAGGTTATGATCTTACTTTCGAGAAGTTTGTTGGGTTCTACACATGAAGTTTTTGAACTCTCTAGACATTTCTTTCGACAAAAATCCTGCTAAAAATAACAATTTGAACAGATAATAGTACATCATTCAAAATCACATTCATCTCAAATGAAAGGAGAGAATTTAGTTCAAGGAGAAGATTTGTGAGATATAAATTTAACCATCACTTGTATGAACCGATTTTAAAATAAATTTCATGAGATTATTCCCTCAATGTTTAATAATAATCTCCCGTTAGATTTCTCATTAAAAAATAGTGGATTTCTCGTCTCTACCTGTGTATGTAAGTCAGTTGATTAAACTACATTAACTTTCCGTTCTTCTTGTTGTGTGGCCTATGAAGAGACCCATGGTTTGATGGGGTGGACGGCTTCAATTGCACATTTGCTCTTAAAATGAGCTGTCTTTAATCTTTGCCCATATAATGAGTTAAGCATTTGCAAAACTTGTAAAATATTATGACACGAAAACATAAGGGACAAACTAAAGACCAGGACAAAATAAGACCGGAAGTGCAAATGACCCCTTGCATGTCTTTGCCCATAGTTTAAGGGAATACAACAAAAGGAGAAACTTGTGGGCTGTGACTATTGCTATTTGTAATTATTCAATATGATGTGGATGACATAAAATGAATGTCCAAATAAAAAGTGAGGATCAAGGTCCATAGACTTGTTTTTGTTAAGCATCATTCTTTATGGAGTGGATGTTGTATATATAATGTTTGTAGTTAGGGTGCTTATAAATTACTATGTAATCGGTACTTATAAATGACTAGGTAGTCATACTTGGATAGACCAGCCCAATCAACAATTTTCAACACCTTTGAATCTTGGCAATGTGACCTAAGACACTTTTTTTTTGAGGCGGAATAATAGGATACACAAAAAAAAGTTCCACGTTAGAAGTTGATATGAATAGAAATAACTTCTATTGTTTTGTTGGTGCGACCTTGGACAAGTCAGAAGTGAGACTAATTAGACTCGTTTTTTGACTCATGCAAAATGAACCAACTAGGCGGAGTAACAAATGTAAAAATTAGCAATCACATTTTCTGAATCAAAAGTGCATCTAACTTGTCAAATTAACAAATGTAGAATTTAGCTATCACATTTTCCCAATCAAAAGTGCATCCAACTTGGCGGAGTAACAAAAGTAGAATTTAGCCATCACATTTTCTGAATCAAAAGTGCATCCAACTTGACGAAGTAACAAATGTAGAATTTAGCTACTGAATCAAGTGCATCCAACATGGCGGAGTAACAAATGTAGAATTTAGATATCGGATTTTCTGAATCAAAAGTGCAATCACTTTAACTTACCTAAGACCCAATCGTGTCAAGTCTAATTTAGGGGAAAACATAAATTTCTCTCTTTCATGAAAAAACCTTTTTGCTCGGGTTAATTTATTTTTTTATACTTTATAAAAGCGTGAAAATTGAAGATTCATTTTCTGATTGTGAGTTGCGAGAGATCTAAATGTGAATCACAAACAACATTAAACAAGGAATTACAAGAAAGATACCTAATTGAGGACGGAAAGCAACAACGTTAGCAACCACTTCTTCAATTCTGTGTCCTTCTCTTTCAAACATAAACAATTGGATCATCTACTTGGTTGTCCTAAAAGCTGTGGACTCTGTCTAAAGCTACTTTGTCAAAGTTTAAACTGATTAAAAACTCGGTGTTACTATTGCTAGTTTTGCTTCGTCACTTTCAATTAATCAGACTAAGCAAGTCCTTTAAATAAATGGAGAAGTGTTACTTCTTCATTAACTTCTATTTTCCACTTTAACAGTGGGAACTCATCTAAATTGACTTATGAACAAATTGGTTACAATAAAATCAAAAACCGACAAAATTCATAAATAAGGTGTTACTCACCAATGTAAAAAGGAGAAATCTAAAGTTTGCTTGTTACAAATTCCATAAACTTGTATAAACCAATTGAAGCAGATGGATTTATTTACAGAAAAAGAAAAGAAATAGCATATTATACATTTGTTGTTTCACCAACAATATCAAGTGGATATAGGTGAAGAAAAAACAGAAATATCATATTATACCTTTGTCGTTTCTCCAACGATATAGCCAAAGCTTAGACACACTGATAATGTAACAGATTTCACACTATCACCTTAGTTTATCAATTGTAAAAGATCATTTACCATCTTAGGAGTATCGAGTTACATGTATTTTCAATTTTATGTAAGTGAAAATAATTTTTACAGCATCCATTCATAGATGCTAAACTCTAGCTTAATCATTAACTAAATTTGTACTTTAAGTATTAAATGAAGGTGAGAAAAAGCTACTAATTATTTACACCAAACCACATTAGTTCTATGAGTCCGAAACTTAAAAGATACAAAATATTAACAAAAATTCCAAAACGGTATATAAAATTTTAATAAAATCAAAACGGTAAAATCACTGCAGATGCAGCGACTTACCTCACCTGAAAAAGCAAAATCGCTGCCTCAGCAGCGATTTTGCAAAAGTTATTTTTTTTAATAAAAAAATGAAATCGCTGCCTAAGCAGTGATTTCAAAATTTTGTTTCTTAGAAATCGCTACCTTGGCAGCGATTTCATTTTTTTTTATTATATTTGTTTTTTTAAACAAATAAGATATAACGCTGCCAGGGCAGCAACTTTATGATTTTTTTTTATATATATAACGCTGCCCAGGCAGCGACTTTATGGAAAAAAAAATTTCATAAAGTGGTCCATTAGTATGCTGCAGGAGACAATTTATTTTATAAAAAGAAAAATCATAATGTCGCTGCCT